TAGAGACCTAGAGCGGGGTAGAGGTGGCGATGTGCGGAGCTTGAACCAAAAAAGCGGAGTTTGCCGCCATATATGGATCAGCTCAGACACAGTCCAGAGAGTAAGAAAGGTGAAGAGGTTGGCGAGAATAAAAAAGATGAATGGGACATTGCGGAGCTTGGCTTTGCTCAGGTCCACTGCGGCCTACTTTGACGTAAGCGGAGCAACTGGTAGTAACTCCATAATATCACGTGCCACTATGGGTTTACCATCATAAAGAAGAGCGTAGAGAATTCTGTACCACTTTCATTCTCTTGCCTACCTCAGCCAGCCGTGACCACTAATTTCGTGGCACAGGAGAGCACTGCGCTTTTTACCCACGAGTAAGAATGACAACATGACGAAATTTTTTTGCGCGAATTCTTAATTTCCAGATCAGGAGCTCCGTCTAGGATTTCACTTTTCAGTTGATAGTGTATTAATAAGTTTACAAGGCGCCTCAAAAACCTTCTGATACATAACCGCTCTTAAAGACACAACCCAGGCCGAGGTCGTGTGAACGCTTCCCTTCAGTCAGGAGTATGGACCTCTAGAGGAAAATCAGAAATGTGGCGTTCGCGCGCAGGGAAACCAACTAATAAGAGCGCTTAGGCCTTGAAAAATAAGCTACTGAAGCTGCAGAGTTTTGAAACGCGAAAAAGTCACTCTCTGTCCTAGTGAAGTGAACTGACCACAAGGAGATAAAATGCATAAAATGAGTGCGAAAAAAGTAGTGAAGCAGCTACTATTACGAAGAATGCAAAAGAACAGGGAGAAAAATTCACCGCGAATCATAAAAAGAAATATATGTGAAGTTCAACAAGAAGTCATGCAACACACACATAAGCAGTGAAAACTAACGTCAAGAATAAGCTGGTTATGCAATACTAGCCCTGGAAAAAAGACAGCGAAAAAAATACGATACTAAAAATAAGTAACATAAAATGCCTAAGGCTAAAATGAGTCTTGGACTATGAAAGCCTGAAGAAAAAGAATCACAAGGAATAATCAGCTGTCTTATTGATTTCTTACGACCTTTCAAACAACGGCTTCTCATCTAGCGTCCCAAGTGGTTGTTTGAAAGATCACGTAGGAGGGTGGGCGGGCTCAATAGGGTTGAGGCGGGGCCAATGCACCAATCTAGCCTCGTAGTGCCTAATCCTTACCAAATCGTCCCGCCACTTCTGCACATGGTCTGCCCTTGCGTCCTGTTGCATATTTGACGGGGAAAACCTACGCCAATTATGCCGAACTTTGCCATCAAGGAGGTGAGCGCCGACAATAACTGATAAAGAGTGGTCAGAGATTGACTTAGGAACGGAGAAGTCATTTCAGTAGGTATGACCAAGAGAAGTTGTTCAAACTGCTAAACCATCTTGACATCCATAGCAAAGTAATTTTTACGCTAAGGGCTGATATTAGGCAGCACAAGTAATCCTAAAGTTCGTTCGACCCTCGACCAGATTTGTTTTCAAATAATGATGGATGCTTATGGGTGTTGAATATGAGATTGTCGGCTTTATCGCAAGCATCAAACTCTTTCAGGGCAAGGCGCGCTTTTTCAAAATGGCTCTGTGCATATTGTAGGGACGCATGTATGGAACGGAGAACCATGTTTCATTTTCGCTGAACAGTGATAGCAGTACCAAAAAAGAAGCATAAGGTACTCTTAGGGTGCGATCCCCCGTGGCGATATAATTTTGCATTTTGGGTTGGCGCCTAGCGGGGTGCCAAATGCGCGTGGGCTTAATATCAAGTCAAATGTCAAATTCATAGTCAGGACCACCGACAAAGGTGGCGGCCAACCTTGATTGCAAACTACTCAGAATCATTAAGCGAAAGCGAAACATGCTTTTGTGGTCCATACATGCGCCCCTACAACATGTACTGAACCGGTTTCCAAAAAGCGCACCTTGCCCTGCAGTCCTTATTGTCAGTCAGACTCATTACTAGCATGCATGTTGCTTGTACACAATGCGCCTTATCAGCCTTTATCTGTGGTAACCACTTCTACTCGATCTACCATCAATGCTCCCCCCCCGCTTACCCTTCATAACACTGTAAGTATGTTGGCTAGTGATGTAAATGCGAGCCAGTAAGGCGGTAGTCGACGACTTGCACTGTTGTTTACACGGTTGTTAATCGTTTCCGGCTTAGTCAGTTGCTATCGCTTTCAGTATGGTCCATCATAGTCTCGGGGCACCCCCCTACCATAGCACTGTGTAACGTACAGAACGCTCTAGTACCAACATGAAACGTACAAAACGAAATTGGCGATGCTCGGCTCTATAGCCTCATTATCAGCTGGTTATAGTCGGCTGATCATTCCTATCAACTGTACCACTGCGTCCCCATCTAACCCCTAAACATATCTAAGAAACACCTACGCTAATCGTTACTGTGGCTGCGCTCGGTCTATGAATTTCTGACAGAGGGACGCACACACACGCACACACACATGCACAGACTTATAATAGGAATTATATACAGTAGGAAGATGGCGAAACCATGAATGAAACCTGGAAATGGACCAAATAACATGACAAACAGTTCAAACCTCGTTACTCAAAAAAGGTGACTAGTTCTCGATCGGAATCACATTATAAAACGATTTTTGCTATGTTACAAAGACAGACATGTAAAATTTTATTATTGTTAGTTAGAGCAAGTTTTAAAGTTAATGAGCCTTGTACAAAGGCGATTTTATTGCAAAGTAACCATATGAGGTAAGGAAATGTAATAGTCGTTAATGTGTTATCTTCGCTGTGTCTTCCACTGTCGATATCTTCTCACTTTGTTATTTGCTTGGTTTCTCTGACTATACCAAATTGTTCCGAGAACACCAAATCATGCAGATGTTCCCTATCACAATCACAGCCCTAAAGCGATGAACATGCTGCGGAAAACATGCGAGATATACTTCTTGTTCTTGAGAAACTGACAGCCACTACCTTTCTTCTCTATGAATGCTTTCCACAAGCTTTGTGTGAAGTTGATCCTCCCGGCGACCTACATGATGAAAACTCTTTTTGATCAGCTGAAACAAAACTTTTCGCATCGTGCATAGGCATTACCAAAAGGGTTCGAGTGCACTTCTAGTCGATTTCATCTCGGTTTTTTTTTCCCAAAATGAATACTTGGCGTTGATCGAGCATAGTTCTTAATAGCTTCTCGTGCGCTACATTTTTTTCTGGAAAAATTTTTGGAGGTTGACTTTAGACTTCATTTTTGACAGAATGCAGTTTCAGAACTCTGGCATTCAAGGAGTGAAAAATAGAGGATACAATAAATCAGAGCGATATAAGAGCGCACAGAAGAAAATGAGACATTCAGAGTTTCATTCGCGAACACCGTTTTACAAAAGGACGTCCTTCATCGGTCAGCTAGGTTTCTGTATGTATCAAGCCAGTGAATCTCTTTTCGGATGAGCCCTTGAACTCTACCGATGAATTTTTTCTTCCTATCGAATTTCTTTGATTTTCACTTTAGTGCGCGCACATTGAGCCACTGTGAGTGCAGAAAAGACTGAGTACTTTCTTATTACGCAGCTGAGAGATTCCAAGCCGGCGGGCTACGACTTCTTGGTGGAGTCAACACTGATCAAAATTAGATATGCGATTCAACCTTCATAGACAAAAATCTGGTCACTCACATGGAAGTTCGGCAATAAACAAGCAGAATTCAAAATGCGCCAGCCTTCACTTTTACCTACCCAGACGACGGCTGGGAATCACTGACGGCAAGAAATCGGTCTTACCCTTCAAGTTGCCTATCACCGCAAGGTTTCCTATCAAAGCAACCACCGAATCTCATATGGGTCATCATCGTTCACTAAACGAAAAGGTTTGTGTGACCGATCCCCCACTACAATTCGTTTTTCAAGAGAAAACATTCAATAAAAATCCGTTATGGAACCGTCCAACAAGAAATCCCCGTCGAATGGTCGTCGTTTTTCTTGAGGGAGTGTTGAAGTCAGCTCACTTGGTCCCCTAATCGACAGCTCTCTTGAGATAGATCCCTAGTCATCACCATATTCCACCCCTTCCACATTGCCATTGTTCCTCACAAAGCTAGTTTTAGTAGAAGTCTCAAAATTTCTGTCTTCTAAACACCCTTATATTATCAACCTGTCATGTATGAAGGGATTCTCCCCTGACAATCCCTTGATTTTTTTTGCGTACGAAGATTGAGTTTCCGAAGACAACAAAATTACGAACCATGGACATCCGACGGTAGGTCGGGAACACACGGAAGAGCACTCCACCAGCACTTATAACAGATGTACGGCGGCAGTTTGAACGCGTAACAATCCTTCCGGATTTTGGAACTGTCCACCAAAACAACCGTACTTTTTTGTTCTTTCTGTTCCTATCGTGAACAATAGTTCCCAAGCCAGCAGCTCAAGCGTGACATACAATCATGGTTTTCCAGGAGAATTCTTTGAATTATCATACATCTGGTCTTAAGAACTCTCAATGAGCCATTTGTACACTAAAGTCAGCAGTCCGTCGAAAGGGACAACGCGCGCGCAACAAAGCCATGATCACGAAACAATTTGTGCAACGTCGTATTTGATGACTATGCTGTATGTAGAGAAGCAAAAGCGGTAAGTGCCATGAGCCTATTCACCTGTGGCGAGCCTGTGCTCGTAGAGGCTATGCCGCTACTCACTTCTTCCCTTGCTCCACCGACTCCTGGTCGCATTTCGGTTGAACTGGTCTCCTAGAAGCAGATTTAAGAGGCACAAGACGGAAACAGAAGAACAGATGATGCGACGACTATGTAATGACGATAATGAAGGCATAAAGGATATTCACCCTTAACAGATGATGATGGTGGATATTTGATTGCGCTTCGAATTTCAATTTAATCAGGGTGTCTTAGCCGCCACTGTTCTTTCACTCGTTTTCGCCTGGCCATGTATCCCTGGCTCGAGATTTGTTTCTTAGGGAGATAGGGAAATAGTTCAAGTAGTATAAAATATGAATGGAGTGCTTGTTGTAATAAGACCAGGAAACCGAGGCAAGCTGTCAGACGGTAAGGTAGTCAGCTGGAGTCATGCTAGCCGAGTTCATTTCCTAGGTAGCTCACATGCATCACCATAAAAGTTGTGCCTCGGCAAAATTTTCTAATGAGGCAACGTTATATTCCATGGTAGCAGCTGCGACTCCTGTACGTTTCGCCTCTAAACGAGCCAACTTCAGCTTAGAACAACCGTTTAATGATCCTCTGATTTCTTAGTTGCTTAACATTTAAATCCTCAAATTATTCATGAAGCATAACGAGCACGTGCTGTCGATTTAACACATTGGTAGTATGAGACACGTCGTCGGGCAACACGTTTTCCGCTGAATGAGGCTTCCCCTTCCTCGAAGTATTTGGAGGCGAATTTTACGATGAATAGAGGACTTATTGTAATCAAAAAAAAGTGGTCCGTTGAGTAAGGATGAAGGTGGAACCATGAGAAATGACCAGGAGCCCAAGAAATGAGAACTCTTCCTTGCCCGTTGATTTGCGCATTAGTGCGACCCACATCGTCGTGCCCTCTTCAAAACTAAGCTCGGCTATCTAATCACTTTTCGATATAGATCGAGTGATCAGCTCGGTCGGTGGGCGTTTGAGTCAATTGCGAAAAAGGGAAAGCTATGCTAGGTGGCCAGGACACATCCTTCGTTGCATATAGCATGTTGATCCGCACCCTTAGAATGCCCGCCTGTCTCCCCACTAGGCAGTTTGCCCCTTCTTCGATCTTGGTTCTTATTTTGAAATCCTCCTTCATGTGCGCTTTTCTAATTCTCGAGGAGAAGTAATACACTGGGGTGCAAAAAGCGCATGGTGAGTGAAGCTATTCTAACCTATGGTGCTTTATAGGACAGAATGGTCCATGTTAGGTTGTGTGAGCACTATCAAGTGCAGTGCATGCTCTGCTACTACGTGCTCTTGGCCACAAAGATGGTAAGGAGTTCTTGTAGGAGATTGTCCCATTGCTCAAACACTGCCACTGGGTTGCTGGTTATTGGCGCATGTGGCTGTGTTATATTGATTCTCCTTCACTTGCTTGATAGGATTCGATTGGGAGAGGCGGGCCGGATCAACCAATCGGCGAATATCCTTCCGCTACAAGAGTTTTCCATCTAAACTGCTCGAGTTGCACGTTGTTCTCCATGCGAGCGAAGTTCGAGAGGAAAGTAATCTTGAAAAGACGCGCAATGAGGAGTACTACAGCGCCACAAAACTTTCACCAAAGCGAACTATCGTCGCGAGTTTGGAAGTCAAAACAACCTGGCAACTCTATTCCTTTTTATACCATATCGCCTAGACTTTCAAAACACTCTGTTCAACCATGGTCTGAGGACAACACTTGTTCCTAAATCTTGCCATATGCGGGTAAATCCAGAACCACTAGTCACTCAATTCGTTCTTAACTGCGAAGAGCACGAGTTTCCTAATCACTGACCCTTCACCAATGTCTCGGCACCTAACACATGTTCATGCCGATTTGCATGTTTCAATACAATACTATACACTAATCGTGATGCAAACAGATAATAATTATGCGGTCGTCGTGCCACTGTTCAGATCGTGATTAAGTGCCTCCAATCCTGAGAAATATTTTTGCAAGTGCAGCCGTCGACTAACGTTGATCCAGTCATTCCTGCTATGGCGGTTGATCGTGACCCTTCACCTCTTCTTCTTTGGGCAGCAGTAGCCGTGCTCCATACCGCTCGCCATGCACGTAAAACAATGCTGCGAACAAAACCAAATTGTTGGGCTGCACTCGTGAAGCATCATTCTTCTTCCAGATTCCAATGATTCTAGCTCGGCGAAGTCACCCTAATCTTTTCTATGAGACTTGCACACACACACTCAGCACATTTATATAAAGTAGAATATTTGCAGTACATATTTCACTGCTTATATAGGTATATCACGATTCAAAAATTGTAGTAAAGGTCCTAGTAAGTTGTGTCGAAAGTCATCTTCCTGAGTCAGGAACTTTCCAGGGTGTGCAGGTGGATCTTCTAATTGCGGTGAGTGGCACACTATTACACATACAACAAAAACACATGGATTCAACCAATTCATGGATTCTGACTTAGGAAAAGTAAGTATTCCGTGCTTCAGAGACTTCACCTGCCTAGTGAAAGTAATTCTACTTCGCTAAGGAATAATGCGAACAAACCCTTAACATTTTCTGCTTTACTTTGCGTCCCTTTCGGATAAACATTGCAGATGCAGAATACACTTTTCGTATTAGGTCGTGAAGAATGTTCTTGCGTTTTTCGGTGTTACGTTTTTGAACGCTTTATTTTGTTATGAATATAAGCAAACCGCCAACGAGCTGCAAGTGGTCTTGAAGAGCTTTTCTTGTTCTATCTAACAGCTAGGCTAGCTACGTTTCCTATCATTTAGTTGTCATTTTTGAAGCCTTGAATACGGCATACTCCAGGGGAAACTTTGCATGATTTTTTTCTAGCTCAAAGCAGGCCAGTGTGGAGAGGAAACAGTTCAAGATATTACAAACGCACTTGGCTGAGATTCGCAATAAATATGGTCTAAAGCAGTTCTAAAAGCTTTTGTAAGAATAGCGATAGCCCTAAATATTGTGAGGGTGGTGATCGGGGATAGGAGACGCCAACGATTAGTCGAGCGTTCTGGTTGAAGCACGTTTGCACAAATCTATTGGGAGGTTCCCTCCCTAACTATTCGCACTTGCATTTGTTCTCTTGTTGTACGGGAAGAGCTGCAAAGTCACAAAAACGCGGCGAACGATCCTCCAAAATGGTGAGTTCTCGCGGCACGCCCTATTTGTCAGCGGCTGGTCTAACTTTATGTAACCAGGCGGATCTGTTAATATGGGAAAAGGGCGTGCCGCGAGAGCTTACCTTGAAGGATCGTTCGCAGCGTTCTAGCTTGTTTCATGCCATGAAAAGGACCTAACTTTTTAATCATTCGCGACAAAGAACTGATTCTTCGCTACAGAATGCGAACCTTTGGTGAAGTGAACGACCGCGACCAGGCTCTACAAATTTCGCAAGAGTGAAACTTCAGTGAAGTATGGTTAGGTAGATTTCATTAGGTCAGCGGCTGGTCTAACTTTATGTAACCAGGCGGATCTGTTAATATGGGAAAAGCACTCCTCATAATGTGTAAAATTACTCCTAGAACTCCGTCACATATGCTCGAAATTCCTCATTATAATGGAACCGGCTCGTCCCTGGCAGGTAGCACGGACACACATTCCACAACCAACCCTGCAGAAGTTCAACAAGGTTGACTACGGTTTAGTCCTGCAAACATCCTCGAAATGGGAACATGCGAAAATGCGAACAACTCGGTAGACCTTTCGCCTATGATTTATTATTTTCTTGACTACCTGGATGGCTTCTCCAAAGATTTATGCTTTGAAAACCAACATGATGCGAAAACGACCTCCGCCGGGTTTATCGTCTCTAGAGCTCAGTATTCTGCACTACCGGGCTGATTCAATGCAGCTGTCATTGGCAGAGGTTTGTGGATTCTGACAGTCTTTACTCCAGTCAGAAAGGTTTCGAAGCGCTAGAACTTTCTTTACGAACTAATAAAAAACAGGAAGCTTGAGCAGCACAGTCGGGAAAATTTAGGTTGCCAACGTTTTAGAATAGCAGTTTGAGTATTGAAAGCACGCCAGAGGAAGTTGGAGAACGAAGTGAGCCATCACTTAAGGAAAAGGAGAGAAAGATGAAAAGAACGAGAAGAAAGAACAAGGATCCTCGGAGTTATTGCTTCCGGTTACCCAAAAACACAGAAAATCCAGATATCTTTCCTCTATCATTTCAAGGAGAATAGGGGAAGGCGGCGAAATTGGCGACAATTGGCGCCGAAGAAATGGAAAATTATATGAGACCAACGAAAATACAGATGAGCGATGTGACGTGTATGAGATACTATCACATTAGGTGGACCAATTCCTCATTTCGGTCCCCCTTCCCTCTGAGGGTTGTAACTTAACTTCACTTTATAACTCGCAGATTGATTCAACAAAACTACCCCTATTTCGAGTCCTCTCTTTCTCGTTCTACAGTGAGCAATAACGACAGAATACCTGTCCTAATCTTCTTACAGGATTTATCGCAATCCGCCTCGCCTGCAAATAAACGCAGTTTAATGCTCGTCAACAAAACCAAATGAAACACGCTCGAGAAAATTCACCTTGCCTTTTTCTGAAGCACATGGACTGCCTGGAAACTATCACATGTGAACGTTCGAACAAATGATATCTTTCATTATGTTGAGAACCCCGTCTTATGAAGCAGGTGTATTATTGCATGAAAGCACCACCAAATTTTTTTCCGACAATTCCCTTTTAAAAAATTGATTCTAGGAGATCGGTGACATACGTAAAACTGGTTGTAGAGATCCCTCATTTTCACTCTTCCTGGACTTTGTTTTCTTTTCCCGTGTGATTGAGGCGGTCTTGGCAGAAATGACATAACCTACAATTGACAAATACAGTAATACACCATATATGGCTTGAAGAACCCCTTCTGAAAGCTTAGTAGGGCTGCTTCGTGCGGCCCAGGCTGCACACTTTTCTACTGCAAACACTGGTATATAGGCGAAAACAATTGACTACTTCTGAATATACCTGTTCTTGCTAAGTAGCAGAATAGATACTCATAGCAGCGCAGGGTTTGACAGAAACCTTTGGTGCCCTTACTAAGATGGCGATACATAAAAACCTGAGAATAGCAACTTTTTTCGAAAGATACGAAGTAAAACTTGGAACTAACATTCAACGAGCCGAATGTAAAAGGCGGATCAAGAAAATAAATCATCCAAGTAATACCTGCATTTTTGCTTCATTTTTGTTGCACATGTCACTCCGACACTGACAACGAATTGTCAGGTCTTTCAATACACATCTATTTTTCTGAAGTAAGTTGATTGAATTGCGGTCCCGATCAGAGTATAACGAAAGTGCGGCATGTCCTCGTGAAAACGTAGAAAAGAAGGGATAGGAACGGTCATACATATTGAAGGGCAGACAGTTACCAAATGTGAAAATTGACCGCTTATGCGATACAGAGAAGGGCGATGGTTGGCTTTTTAGTACATTTTGAGTATTGTCAATAAAGACGTGTAAATGTGTAATCTCTCATCAAAAAATTGCGTTTTGAGAGCTATGGAGCTATCGGCTGTGTTGATGTTACGTTAAAAGGTATCTTTACTTCCAGCTATAGCGTCGAGGCTGGTGATTTACGTTCGTCAACCACGTCATTTTCTACTTTATTATGTACTAGATCAGCAGCTCACCTCAGGTTTGTAAAAACAGGTGCTGCAGGACGAGAACCTTTGAGTTGTGACCAACAGTTCTGATATTGGCGCGAGGCGCACCAGGATTTGTACTTATCCTTTGCTTCGGGAAACCGCTTTGAGTGCAGAGCACATACCATACCTAACGACGGCCTCCAAGTAGACCAGTAAGGATGCGAGACAAGAGTCGCCCTAAGGTCGTCGGGCAAGCAAAAGTAGGTCACCAGTAGCACGCGGTGGCTACCGATCCCTACAGGTTGGAACGTGGAATTCACTAGGACTAAGCAGATACAATTGCAGAAATACGGACCACACAGGCGAACAAAAAAGCGTTGCATCGATCGTCTAGAGATGCGGTCCCTAATTTTGGCTAACTGCTATGTTTCCAACCGCAAAAACGCCGGCGATCTCGCGCGCGGTGACCTAGTTGTAGCACGGCGGTCGCGGGGAACTCTTGGCCGACGTGTGGCTAGCGATCCATAGTAATAGCTGATAGTCGTTAAATGAGAGTTGTGTATTTAATGACAACTGAAAGAATGGGCGCTCCCGTCCTCGGGGGTGGGGACATCGACAACAAGGCCGATGTCAGGTGACACTGGTAAGCTCAGGAGACGGGAGAAACGCCAGGGAGCACACATATTGCTTGCATCTTCCCATAGAATTCCTTTCCCTGTCTAAGGCACAGTTCCAAGCACAGTAATTGGCTTACTCACTGGGATTCCCCCCCCCCCCAAGGACATGAGCGCCAAAGAATGCAACTGCATCAGGCTATTCGTTTGGCAGCAATTATGTACATACCAGTTTAGCGCCGCATGCTACCGCGCGCATTAAACCGAAGGTCGGGTGAGACAGGATAGCCGACAAGCGCTAAATTCACCGCTAACAAAGGCTCTTCATCTTAGGAAACTCACCATATATATAGATACGCGCAGTGGAGTGCGGAGCTAAAGTGGTTTCTGTAAACAACCACCATGCATCGAACGCCAGTGTAATTAAGCGGTCGGATTGCGTGTGATGTTAAAATATAAACGTCCTGCACTCGTTATCGTATTTTTGAACTTACACCATTCATTTTTAGGAACTCTGGGGGGGCATAGCGGTTTAGTGGTATTTCGGGCTGATGATAACAGCGCAAATGAAAGAATATTGAAATGAAATGCTTTTTAAAGTCTGGTTTTGAGTGACCTTTATATTCTTGCGCATATCGTTATTATAGGCCCTTATCAGCCGTTACCCCTTTCTTTTTTCCACCATATATGTTCCCGTCATACCCCCCACAACACTTCTTCGAACCAACGCCTCACTGATGCTGGGACGCGCGCTATGGATATTGCGGGAGTGGCGTTTCTGGCGCCTCTTGTCGGGTCTTATCAGTCGTAATCACTTTGCGTCTCCCACCAATGATGTTCCCGTCCTACCCTCCACATCACTTCTTGGAACCAACGCCTCAGTGATTCTGGGACGCGCGCTATGGACATCGTGGAGTTGGCGTTCTAGCGCCTCTTATTGGGTCTTATCAGTCGTTATCACTTTGAGTCCCCCACCAAATATGTTCCCGTCCCACCCTCAACATACTCAAAATACAGCGCTCCACTGTTGCACCGAAGGGCGCTATGAATTTCGTGACAGACACACGCACACCCACAGACAAACTTAGCGAATATATAGTAGGACATTTTTCTGAGGCCGTCATCCTTCGTGGTGGATGGTCTGTACTCGACGCGCTTCTGGTTTTCTGAAGCAGACTGTAAGGCGACTGATATGCTCATCCCCGAGAAGGTACGGAGTAGCAACCAGTAGCCAGAAGCAGCATTTTTATTACACATTTTTTGCAACTCAGGTTAGTCTCACACAATCTCAAATACTATAGCCACAATCGTCATGGGTATCTTTCACATGGGCATAGCCCTATTCTAAGGAAAATAATGTGTTAGGTGATCTCGAATGCATGGCCAGCACAATGCCCCCGCATGTTGCTCTAGAATTTGTTTGAATAGATAGGGCCCTCGTTGTGTTCGATGGAGAATTTTGCACGCCCCGAATGTGAGATGCATTGTTCTTCTATTTATGTGAGCAAGTGATACCAGTGGCCGTTTCTTTATTCCATATAAAGCAGGTCCTTTGACTTTGCAACTACTGGTGAGATGCCGTGTAAATGTGCACACTTCTTTTCTTGTCTGAAAAGTAACAAAAAATACAACGACTTGTGCATTAGCTTTGAGTCATTTGAGTTGTTTCTACACATTTGAGTATACCTTGCGTACAATAGTGTTCCCAAATCGACAGCGAGATAATGAAACAGCTCCAAAGACCAAAAGGGATAGAACGAGTACTGAAATTGCCTGTATTGCTGTGACGACTGTACACCTCGGTCAAACAAAAAGCCATTGCATCAGTTTCATTAGTTACCTCTGGAAAGCATCACTCACTCTTCAGCTACTTTCTGAGTTGGTAGACAAGGAAATGAAGTCACTGCAATAGTGATATCTTATGATAGTATAGTGATCGATAGTAGCTGTATCATTGTAGGTGCCTGGCAGAAGTTAAGATCACTTCTATACTTAAGTACTTTAAACGTGGTTGTTCGACAGATAAATACCTAATACGAAAGTGAGTTTTCTAAGGGTTTTTGTGTGCATATGAAGAACGGCAGTAGCTATTGTTGGGAGGCCCTTTCTGGGTCCGGCATTTCTATAATGTCTTGTTTATCCTCCAAATTTACTCCTTTTCAATAGAATTTTGATGCTATCTTTTCGGTGACTAAATTTATCAGTTCGACACAAGTCCCCAATTCCCATCTTTCTAAGTTACTTGCGAGTAAAACTGAAGATCCTAAAACGTTCTTCTCGAGGTTCCCACATTTTTAGAAGCATTGAGCGCCACGATAGGCTTCTTTGGTGCTCCTTTCACCTTTCATCTCTTCCTTTTCCTTCATTTTTTGTGATATGAACGTTTCTTATAGTTTTTGAATCGCTCTATCTAGGTAACTCCAGCTTCGCCGCAAAAGTTGCACGGTTAGGGCGCCCCTACTTACCCCCTTCGCAACACTTCCCACCCACCTCGGTATCGGCGTGCTCTCTCGAACGGCATGATCTCTCGCGTGTTTTGTCTTCTTTGATCGCCCTGCCTCCCCATCGTTCCACATCCGGCCTTTTTGAAGGTTAAGGCATTAATTTCAGCAATCCCAAAGACTTCTTCAGCTTTCCTTTCCACTTTCAAGCCGTTCCACAGCTCAGTCAGCACTAAGAAGCGCTCCTACACCAGTTTTATCCCGGGTCTTGTCTTCTAATGGACGCTATCGTGAGATACGGAACATCCTCTATGACCGAGCTTTCAGGGAGCAGGACTCCAGGGAAATGATAATTACTTACCCACCCGGACTTTCCTCTTCCTCCGGCTCAGTCCCGTTCTAAAAAAAGGACATGTTTTGAGCGAATGTATTAAAAACCCATTGCCACCACAATGCCCCGTATTTTGCGATAGCATCCTTGAATGTTACATATCTAGGAAACCGGCAAGATCACCACCGCTAGCTCACATCGCACGGCACATAATGTTACTACTTGATAGCAAAAACGGCGCTATCCCCATCTCAACAGGGAGGTCTTCCAAGAAATAGAGCGCTTTTGCAATTTATCAGTTGCATTTGATAGAGACATGTACACAAAACCTAGAATATGTTCATTTTTGAGCGGCCATATGAACATAAAGGAATGAAGTATCGACTGAGGGAACGCGGCCTTATGAACATAAAAGGAATGAAGTATCGACTGAGGGAAAAACGCTTCACGTGTGTCATAAGGTGGCCATTTTAGATCAGATCTCTTAGATTTCTCCGTAAAGTAGAGCAAGACGATCTGCGCTTTCCGTGTTTTCACGAGTTCTTCCCCTATTCCTCCAAATGTAGTCTAACTCCCATCCCTACTTTCATATTTGAGGCGAATCAGCACAGCAGTTTGACCCCGATTTTCGCTTTCAACGAGAATCTAAAATGTTTTTATTGTATCACCAGATTAAGTCCCCGTCAACCACCGGGACCTTCCTTCCCTTCGTAAACTTTACCTATTTTGCTGTTTTACCATCCATGAACAACTCGCGTAGGTGTGGCGTATGCTACAGAAAAGGAGTTTCATATAGTGGAGTTCATCGCCATAATCATAATGTGACGGCAGATTTTCCGTCTCCCCATCCCCGTCCCCCTTCCTCCCCTCTCTCCATTGCCCTCTAGCTGCCACCATGTGGAATGAGTGGAAGTCTTCATTCGGTGTTCATGTAGCCGTAGGAGTGTTATAACATTATCCTATTGCAAAGCATTGATAGCTCAAACCCTGCGAGCTGCCCAGATTTCTGAGTGGCTTGTTCATTCAATTCCATTGCGATGCCTTATCACTCACTTCATTTTGCCGACGGACAGACATACAGACATATGTCCATACACACAGACATAAACACAGACAGACACACCAGCGCTTTATAAAATAGAAGATTTAGTCATAGGAGGGTCAGCGTCGTTTACTTGCCGGAGGCGTGAAGTCGTGCGGGTGCTTTAAAACAACATCCACCGTTCTAGGGTAAATGAGTTTGAATGAGTTAATTGTGCAAGGGCTTTTTGCAGTGCTTTGATATGTGGACTTGCAAACTGATACTCTAGGTAATGCAATAACATTGTCGCGCATGAGTACGGTCCTGTCGCCTTTTGTTGATAAAAATATTTACATAAGAATAATTGATTTGATCTTTTACATTCAACTGTCTTGGTGTTGCAGTGAATAGATTGCAGTAGAATACAAGTGTTTGACTAGCACTTGCTCTCAACGTATATTTTCCTACTGCAACTTCGAGACACAGAGACCGCTAAACAATCATGTGGTTTGGCGGAAAACCCAAACTTGGGTAATTAAGCTTAATTATAAATAAAAGCCAACTTAATAAATTTAATTTAGCCAAATTATAAATAAAATACAAGTAATTCATATGGACGTCTCGACACGTTTCTTGGTTCTTTGCCAGGTAGTGGGCCCAATGAGCGGGAAACGAGTAGTGCGGGTCCGTTTCCCTCTTGTGCTGATAAACTCCAAATCTAACGCAGCATTCTTGCGCCCAACATTTGAATACATTAATATATGTATGCATATATCTACACTCATTAATATTAGCAACATTAATGTGGTCTTCTCTTTCAGTCATGGACACTACTCAATTGATCACTAACCTTCTTAGCGTAGGACTCCCGGATAAAGGACTCACGAAAACGGTCTCTGAAAGTGACATTATGGATGTCTTGGGTAAACGCTTTTTCAAACGAATTCTATTCAATGCTGAGAACTCCACTTACGCAAATATCAATACCCAAATGGTCCTGACAGCATTTTTATTTCACTGACAGTCAGGAGAGTCAGGACGATACCACACCCAAAATTTTGCGGACGTTAGGCAAGGTGGCAGAATAAGTCCATGTTCGACCTTCTTGCAATCTTGGCATGGTTAGTTCAGTAGGAATGATTCTTCAAGCCTTTCAAGATTGAACTTTTTATACAAGGCTTACGTTTCGGCTTCTTCGCCTTCGGAGCCTGAAATGATCAAAAGCATGTGTAACTTGTTCGCCCAAACGCCTTTAAAAAACTTTTTTTAAAGAAAACTCAAGACTATTTTACTAGACTAGGAAACTTCCAAAGGTATTGGTAGATAGAGACATAGGACTGCTCACCTTGAACTCCACCGCTAAGACAGGAGGACGACCACCCTCGTACTAACTAGTATGTGGAAACTTAGAAGTGCCTCCCACAGACCTCATGGTAGATCAAAGGTTACAAAGGTCGACGAAGGGTGCGAGTTCGCGGGTTATAGCCACTCACTCCTCCTTCCTGTTCATTTGAGGGTCTTTAGCAGTTATACGTAAGCCTTGTATAAAAAGTTCAATCAAAGGGAAGAATCATTCCGACTGTTAGGCAAGGTTTTCGCAAAAATGCAATCAAGTGTGAACGTGCCCAATGGCTTCCTCGATGACGTCGAATTCCATGCTGGGCATGCCGAGTAGCAACACTAAATGAGGCAGAAACCTGTGTAGATTTTCACAGGCAAATGCCCATCAGCTTTTTGCTTGTTTTTCCATATGTTTACTTACTAACATAAGGGCTCGTACTCCCAGAAACGTAGTCGCTAATTGGTCCGGGTGGGTGGATGAATTTTTTATAGGCATGTAGCTAGGCAATAATCCTAAAGGGCATATGTACGGTAGTGAACGAAGTCGGGGCAAGTGGGTGCGACTGAACCAGAATCTCCTTTTTCCTTGCCTAAGCTTTCAATTTGAAACTATAAGGCCCGGGCGAGCAAGTAAGCGGACCAGACGACCACATAGGTCTATAGTTACTGGCTACGAATCGATATCGATCGAGATTGTAGGTCGCCGCAGGTGGTGACAACGGTTGGCGAATTACAAGTTGTAGAGATTAAAGCTGAGGGTAATTCGTTCTCGATTAATATTGAGAACAAGATATCGCTGTTTGCGTAGAGTGCCAGAAACGCATAACAATTTTCTCTGATTAAGGGGTGTTATAAAATTGAAACTCACAGGGGAAACGCTAGCGATCGATTTCTCGATGGGAGTAATGAGTTGCAACAGCGAGTGGGCAACGTCGTAAGAGGAGAAATATTGACAGTCATAGACTACCGATCAAAATCAGCAAACTCCAAGAAGAATACTGAACAAGGGGACTGGACCGCAACGCTGGGTTCTGGATTATGGTGGTCCTTGCGATCAGCCCATCTCTCAGCAGCCGTGCGACGCGCGCGTATCATGTGCAGCAAAAACTGTACATTACCGTAATAAGTACAGGTGACTTCTCGCTAGTTCATGCAATATTTTGTTCTTCTTCCACGACGAAATTAGCAGAAAGTCTATTCTTGTACTAATCATCTGCTTCAGGTAAGGCCCGCGAAATGTTTCTTTCTCAACCAACAATGGTTGAACTTGACTCACCAGTGAAAATATGTGGTGACACTCACGGACAGTATCCCGATCTTTTAAGACTTTTCAACAAGGTGGGAGCTCCAATGTATTCTTGCTTCTCACACTGATGTGTGCAGTCCATAGGCGAGAGCTGGGGTAGACGTATCATCGGCAGCAGCGCACTTGATAGATGTCGCCCGGAAAAGCTGCTTCCAACACATCGCTGGATATCGGCTGAGCATGCCGGCAACAGCTTATCCACGCAACTTCTATCAAGTGCTGCAGCATCCACTTCCGGTGACACGCCCACCGCAGCCCTCAGATGCGGACTGCACATACGAATGAATGAATGTGTATATGAAATGATTCGGTCTGCATAGAGGTATTGGAAAGGCTATAAATTCTCTAGCGAATGCGCCTCGCACTAGACTTTCCGTTAAAATTGTGTCGGTACATGGATGCATACCGAGCATATAGAGTCCATACAAAGACTTATGATTCATGATAGGCTTACGAACGGCCAATTAACCGACAGAGTCGGAGTACTCTAATTATCGGATAAGAATGAGGTCAATTCACATGCACGAATAGTAGGCTTTTCTCGCCTGAGCGGCCCATGTCACACCTTTTCTTTTATTTTCCACGTTTTTGATCTTGGAAGTTACCCTTGAGCATTGAATTCAAAGTGTACCCATAAACGTATGTTTATTGAATGTATGCATGCCCTTCAAGTTCTCAATATCACGTCAAAATCCCACTCTACACAAACCTAAAAGCAAAGATGCTCCGTTAGGGCCGCAATTTATTCATCAAATAAAGATTGAATTCTGCCCGGTCGTCCAAGTTCTAGATATAAAATGTAAGCTTATTTCACAACCCCCAATTATTTTAGGGTGGATTTCCTCCATTATCGAACTACTTGTTTTTGGGTGACTATGTGGATAGAGGAAAGCAAAACCTTGAAGTGATTCTACTTGTGCTAGCTTACAAGGTGAGACTTTCTATTACAATTTGACCGCTTAGCGCTATCTCCAGTCGCAAATAGTAAGGTCGCAGCTAGCGGACAGAGTCAGAAGGAATTGCCGTACCAGGTCACAAAATAGATAGTTGGTGGCAATTCTCCCTCTACTAATGTCGCTGAGATGATAGCTCATCAAAATGTTGCCTTATGTATGTAGCTTCCAGCACCATTATAATAAGCAGGATAGGCGATTCAATAAACTGCGGTCGGCTGGGTTTGGGTGGTAGTACAGGAAAGCCATTGGCCCGTCTTACCGTACTGTGTTTAAAGAAGGAATTCTCGATAAGAACGAAGGTCAAAGAAGAGGGAAACTGCAGACTTGGTAGCAGGGTCATTAACGCTCGAGGAATTCCCCGACCATCGCTCTCTGCTGTGCGAGAGTAGAGCCGATAGCGAGTGTACGCGGAGAGCACAGACGGCTCGCGGGTGGCGAGAGTGAATATCCGCGCGAGAACGGAAAGGATCAGGCGAAATCCTGGACGAACCGTTGAAGAATCCTTAAGCAATATTCACCCTGCTTGGGAGACAGGAGAATCTCCTGAAGGTGCTGACCGACGCGCTTTGACCAAAAGGTTTGTTTGACCTCAGCAATCTAGCATGGCTCACTCTTGGCGCAGTTGGCGAAATACGCCCACCTACTATCTAATGCTCGCCGCAGGTTATGTGTGGCGAGTGATTAGATAGCAGAGAGAATGTAGGGTTGAAGAGGGCACTGCGATGAGAGTCACATCAATGCGCAAATCAACGGGCAAGGAGGAGATCCTATTTCTCGGGTTCAGGCAGTTTCAGATGGTTTCTCCTTCATCTGCTCCACTGACCACCCCTACCCTAATTTCCAGTGAGCTAATTTCTCATCGCAATTTCTGCCTTTAAGTACTAAACACAGAATACATATGGTTCGGTTCTGTCGCTGCCGCGGCTTTCAAAGGTACCGCGCACGGGAATCTGGCGAATGCATACTTAGCTAAAACCCAGGAATTTACAGCTTCTGAACTTCCTGTGGGTTCACGTTTCAAAAAGTGCATTCAAAAAAAACGCATTTTCTACAAAAGGGAAAGAAACGTTTAGTTTGAGGGAGGTTTGCATTAACGCAGCTATCTTTCCACAAAGAAACCAGTCGTCTTGAGTACCTTCTAGCTTGGTACTTTACTTAATTAACGAAGTAGGCGATCATAAGAATAGGAGAGTAAGCTCGGAACATGAAAAGCGCTTTTTTAAGAATGGGAGAATAAGAGTTCAGAAGAGAAGGAAGTCCTTTATTCTCCTATTCTTCGAAAACAATGGTGCTGCCTTGCGATCAAAGTAACACGCACTGCTGCAAATCGTTTCCAAATGCTTCCATGAATTGCTCCTACGGGGCCCCGCGCTTTTACTTTTGAATGGTTTGAATGGTCCTCTACATTACCATGCGAAATCGCGCAGAATTCAACCCACTTTCCCAAAGTGATTAGGTCAACATTCGATGGAGCATACATCATTAGGGGTAACGAAGAGCAAGATCAATGACGTGCTTTCAGTTAAAGTTTCCGAAGAATTTCTTTTTGTTACGAGGAAATCACGAGTGCGCCAACGTGAATCGCGCTTACGGATTCTACGATGAATGCATGCGGCGTTATCAAAGCCAGCGAATGTGGCAGTCATTTCAGGTGAGCATTCATCTTTGAATAGAAATATCTTCAAATGGCAACACCTGCTAGATCCTCTTCTTTCAAAGCTAACTTTAAGCTCTACAATGGTTGAACAAATCCTTCTCGGGAAATTCTTGCATTCTTTTCAATACGAGTGTGTCAGTTGTGACCACTAGAGGCAACACACAAGGTTTAACGCATAAAGATTCGGTTTCTAAAGAGGAACAAACTCACGAAAACCACTTTCAATAGACACTCGAAAGTTAGTCGCGTGGAGCCAAAATTGGAGCATGGAAAGAAGTACGCTTTAGGGCGGCTACGCATCAGGCGAGGTACTGAAGGAACCAGGGTAAAAATTGCGACTTTGAAGAACAGGAACAAAACAATTGATAGAATATGATGCAATAGAAGTGTGAGATGCCAATGCATTAAGTCAAAAGTTCAAAAATGAGTTTCTAGTGACAGCACTCTGTGAACCCTGGAAGCTTTCGCACCGTACATTTGTGACAGATGTCCGGTGGGAATTTGGACGCGTGGCAGACCTTCCGGTTTCGAATTGTTTACAAGAACAAATGCAATTTTTCTTATGGCTGTGATAGAACCATGTTTTTTCTTGGGAACCATTTCAAAAGGAACGTCGGGGTGCTCGGTACGCCAATGCGAAAAAAGCACAGAAATCCATACAAAAACTAGGAAAAGGCTACCACTTGGTTCAGCAGTTGATCTTCGTTCAACAACAGGCACGGCTAGGACTGGGGACCTGTGGACGATTTGTCGCAACACGTTCGATGGCACCACGCCAATCCATGCATCAGTCGAGCTTCAACTGTGCCGTTGTTGGCAACACAGCTCGTCCAAGCCAATAACTTAACTAGTGGCTAGAGCGCTGTAAAGGCGGAGCACTTTCCCAGAACTGCTCAGCAACCAGTTCACCTAACATAGCGGAAGCGCCACACCTCGCTTCCTTGGCAGCCAAGTGACTGCTTCGTCGCCGTGTGCGTTACTTTCTCCGATGCACTTTTTCTCTTTAATGTTAACGCGTTCCTTTAGGCGTGCTCAGTTTTCTCTTCAGTGATATGGTCATTTTTGCCTTCAGTGTTCTTCACAGCGCTTATATCTCGTCCCCCGAGATAGTCACGTAGTTAGCATGTTCCACAGGAATGTGCATTATGTGGTCATGCATGGAGAACAGTTCTTAACTTCTGTTAAACTTTAAAAAATGTAGAAATTTTTTGTGAAATTTTCTTGAAAATATTCGATTTTTGGGTTTCGTCCATGAAGTTGACTGAGCAGTATGTATGCATCACTAAAATTTCCCACAAATCTTTATTCGATTATATGAAGCCAGTTCTTTGTTCAGGATGTTTTTTGCGTGATGCCTCTGACAGCTCTCGTCGGCGATAAAATCCTGTGCATGCATGGCGGCCTGTCACCTCACTTGGAATCGCTGGATCAGCTCAGGAATATCCCCAGGCACGTCGCGCATTATTTTTTACAATTTTTTTCTTTCTTTCCCGATCATGCGTTATTTCCTATACTCGGTCTCCTAGTTTATCACCTTCTTACTCTTTCATTCAATGCTCCTGCTTGGCACATTCCAAGTTCTTTTTCGATAGCTCTTGAAATGCTCAAGCCAGTGAAACGGGGCACTATTCTTGCCACAGGCGACACATGTCACATGTGTCTTCGCAGCGGCACATGAATGTTGAGAAGATTAAACTTCATACCCTAAAGCTATTATCTCCACTGCACAACGCACGTCTCCTTCTTTCTTTCGTTCCTATCCTCTTTCTTCCCCTCGTCGCCAAAGCCTCTCGCCTGTGCACGCACTCTTTTCACCATGAGTAAGCACAATAGTCGCGGCTCAGCTATAAATATCCATGCCTTATTTTTGACTGTTTCCTTTTCATCGTACAGTCACCTAGTACTTATTGTTGCACATATACTTGAATCTTGCTATCGCTGTTGTGTGTGTCAGAAAAGTTGTAGTTCAACGATTTTCTGACATAAATATCTGCTTTCGATGACCATATGTGTTTTTCTTCTTCCATTACCTTTTTCCAGACCCACTGAAGCGACTGGTGCAACTTTGGAGATGGATTTACTTTGGGCTGATCCAGTAATCGGACTAAACGGTTTTCAGGTCAACTGAAGTCTTCATTTTTCAAATAGTCGAAAATTCGGCTGCACATACTACTTACCATCTTGAAAGGTTTCATTTCTATCGCACGTCTGTGTCTGTCTGTATGTTCTCTAAAGTCGCTAGAGCCTGGAATTGTAACACCTGTAGTGGGCTCAGCGCCCGAAGTGTTGAAATGTGTTCTCTACATCCAAGGAACATAAAAGCCCTTTTAACCTCCATGTAATTGCACCATTTGAGCCTTGTCAAGGCTGTCGCCTGGCTATTGTAGCCGACGCGTCAAGCCAGCGATCGTCCTCATGTTCAAGGCTCCTGTCGGTGGATGCTCCGCTTGAGGCATTCCCTGGCAAATACAGAGTTGGATCTGACCTTCAATAATTGACTGGCAGTTTGAAATCGCTATGGAGAAACTTCGAGCCATTGTATCTTCGATCAGTGGGGTGTGGTGGAGCGGCCAAGCGCCACACGTGATAAAACGATATGTGACCAGTTCGCGCTGACTAAACATAAATGAGGTTTGTCTTTCTCACAAGTAATTTATTTGTGCGTCTCCTATACTTCTGAATACATAGCAGATGTCTAACGGATGGTTCAGCAAACAAATCTAGTTCATGACAGCGCGATTGGTAAATTCCCATCAGCTTCCCTTTTTTGATTCTGCTACTGTAGGCACAAACGTGAAGTAAATATTAGAGTTCCTTCTTCTGCAAACAGGATGATCATCGGTGCAGATAAACAACAAACAACGGCCTCTACGAAATGTAATATTTCCTGCCAAGCTCTGCATTATATTGCAATTATAATTACGGAGTATCAACTCATGACCAGTTATGAAGCTCTAATTACCGATTACTTGCGAGGCCGTCGTACTATTGGGTGAGTCCTACAAGGCGTGCACTCTGATTCTCGAAAGCGAGGTATGGTACATAACACACGTGCTCCTTCTTTGTATGTGTCATCAATTCCATTCCCGTAGCGAATTGAGAAGGCCTATGCAAAGTGCGGGAGCAATCGATGTCGCGGTTGTTTTTATTCTTCCAGAAGAGTTTAGTACTAATCACGGGTCCGAGAGGGATAGATCACGGGTCCAAGAGGAATAGAAGGCACGGTTGGCCTGGAAGGAATACATTCCGGTGCTTTACTCCCAACAGCGAGCATGGTATACTGCGCCCTTCTTCTACACCACTTCTGCTGATGAAATTGATTCAATTACCAATAAAATCCATGTTCTCAGGAAAGGTCATATTTCCAGCAGCCCATGAACGAAGATTGAGTTAAGCTTTCAAGAAAAAGCTGTAAAGATTTTATGCGTGATTCCTAATTTCTACTGTTCAGGCTAACATGCGCGGTGCTTCTTATGGATTTGGTCCTGATATTCTGGCCAAGTTCTGTCAAGTGCTCAACATTGATCTGGTGAGGGTCTCTTCTTCTCCCTACCGCTAGTCCCGTGCAGTCGCAAGGTCCGCTGTCCTTAGTAGTCGTCGCCACTTTGTCCTGTCCAGTGCATCTTCTGTTGTGGCCATGACATCACCTAGGTCCTTCCGGATAACGTCCCTCCACCTCTTTTTTGGGACTCCTCGCGGTCGTTTGCCTTGCGCTTTCGCCGTCGTTGCTCCCTCACCTTCAGCTGGACAGGAGCAGTCTGCATGACCGCACTGACATCATTGTTCCTGTCCCAGTCCAGTCGCCTCCAACCGCAGGCCGGTGGGGGTCTCTGTTTACCGTAAAAAAGAACACGGTAAACGTACAGTACAAAGTGGCCTTACTTGGGATGCTTACGAAATCAGCATGCATCCAACCACCATGAAAAATTATAGGCTTCATGGATGCAAAATTCGTTATGGAGAAAAATGGGGCTCTCGTTCTCATTCAATCCAATGTTTCCTGCACCTAAAAACGCAAACTGCTCTACATACCTGGCGTGAGAGGGGAGAAAAACTTGGCCGGTGGGGGTGGGCTTAGGTTTGCAAGACACACTAGGAGGGCCGCTTAACTACCACGCCTGTCTCGATCGTATATGAGCATATGAGCATGGGTTATAACCATTTCAGGTCGCAAGGGCTCATCAAGTTGTGCAGGATGGATACGAATTTTTCGGAGGACGGAAGCTTGTGGTAATTACTTGCAGTTGTACTCAATCCAGTATATTTCAGAGTCCATTTCGTCAATGATAGCTCAGCGATTTTCAGACCATTTTTTCTGCTCCTCACTATTGTGGACAATTCGACAATGCCGCAGCAATGATGACCGTGGATGAAAACTTGCAGGTGAAGTTCTTTATTCAATTGGTTTCATACATTTGTAAATCATCAAATTTCAGTGTTCGTTTGAAATCCTTCGTCCGTCTGTTGGAAAGCCTCAACCGAAGATTATTCCCACTACCATGGGTTCTCCAGGAGCTCCTGCATGCCAATGATACTCACCTACTAGATAAACTTGTTTGCTGCTTTGTAAGATGTATAAGAGACAGAAGCCACATAAGCTTATGGGTTCGAAGAATATGCCCTTGTGTCCTACATGGCCTTATCCTTTGCGCAATCGGTGCGAAACGCCCAACACTATCTAATCACTTGCCGCAGGTCCATACCCGGGGACTGATTAGAGAGAGCGTAGTGGTGAAGAGGGCTCAACGATGAGAGTCGTATCAGTGCGGAAACCAACGAGTACGAAAGAGGTCCCACTGGTCGGACCTAACTTTGTTTCATATGATTTCTTCTTTAATCCTTGCCCAGTAGAATACCTTCTACCCTTACTTCCAATGAGCTATCTCTTCTTGTGAATCCGTGAAGTGAGGCAGAATATATCATGCGTTTCAAGTTATAAAGCCACCTGAATGAGCTGTTCCAAATTAGATGAAGTCCGTGATGGATGAATAGTTTACTCGAATTACAAGCACGCTCTGAACTATAGTAACTTTGTTGCTACAAACCACTATAAGCTAGAAACGGGTTCATAAGAATTTTGAAAACTCCCCGTTTCAAAGATAAGACACCCGGCTAGTATGGACCGGTAAAATTTTGTTCTGCGAATCATTTGGAGTTCTTTGGCATACATTAGCACACACAACATACGTCTTCAATATATCTCGCTGAATCGTTTTCTTTGGAGGCAATTCAGCCGACGACTTTATCGACTGTCCCATTCAATCGCTCATTGCTGCTCAACTTGACGTTCTCAGCCTTTATCGAATATTCTTCGAGGAACTCCGAGCTTATCATGAATAGGAATATCCCTGAAAGGTCAAGCGCGTGTTCTGACCTGAGTATTATATCGCTCATGATTAACGGTCCCTTTCAATTCTCTGCCGACATCAGCAATCAACACGAGCTCTCCCTTATTGCTTCGAAAAGTTCATGGGAGGTTGGCTAACTCGCGGCAAATATCTGCGCAAGTCATGATGAAAGACTCCACGTCCGACAGCATCACCAAAGCACCTTCGTCTCGACTCGCCCGGAGACATTGCGAACGAGTTGGGTTCGTAGGGGGATCTACGGCCGGGTTAGGAGGCACTGTTCAGCATGCGTTCCTAGTTAATGCTTGTAGCGTTTCAGTTCATTTTCTGTTGATTAACTTCAACTTGACGGCGGAATATGGTGCTCCCACCAGGCCAATCAGATTCTGGAGAGATTTTAGCAAGTATGTATGTAGTATTTAGCAGGAGAACTTCGCGGTGGTGGGCATAGATGGTCTGAGGCTGCACTTACAGCGATGCTGTGCTCCCTCTGTTGGGCGTCTCTGTGTCAAGAATGGAAGCCCAGTGAAATCAGGATGCTTTTCTTCATGATTTCGTGTTCTGTGTGGAGCGTTCGTCGCCAAAACTCATCTTTATGCGACGATTACGCCACATCCATCGCAGCGGTACCTCAACCGTGTTTACGTCAAACAAACTTCAGTGTATGAAGGCCTGCTAGCAGCCTTGATCGGATCAAGAAGAACAGCTGGGTATTACTGGTCGACATATATGCGCGTATGGAAAGCAGTCAGATAGCGTGGGAGACTCAGACAGCCAGCGAGACGTTTTCCTACCACCTGAATCTTGCTATACGTCTGAAGTCAACGCGATGGTATGCAACATCGTTCTATTAAATTCAGTTCTAAAAAGGAAGTCACGATCGTGCTGATATTTACGATGTTGCACAAGTTTTTCTCTGTGAAAATAGAGTCATGTTTGCAATTGGATTGTATACTTTTGAAACAGGGGATATTTGGAAAAGTTCTTTAAAAATGTTATGGAATCAATCCTGTTTCTGAGAATAAGAGTAAATGCGTTTCCAAACACGACTGATATTCAACAAAGTTGATGGCAAGCATGAAAGACTACCTAACTCGGAAGTCAGTTTCCATGACGGTGGCTTTTACTTTTGAAAGCACGGTATACCTCTTTGTCCAACTTGCTTCAACAATTAATGATACCTGCTCGTTGGGACTAATTACAAGGCATTACATACAGGGGCGTTCATCAGAGCTCCATATATCTTCAAAGTTATCGCGTGAAAGCACTGACATTTCTGAAACGAGGCAGATCGTGTGCGCGCTTCTAAAAAGTATTCGCATCAAACAAAAAACTTCCTTATCGTTCACAAAAGAGCAATAACTCCTTCCTTATTCAGTGACTGGTGTGGGGACAAGTGCCCAAATAGTGCTGAAGCGGTTGCCGTTGTTCAAACTTATGAGGCATTTGAATATTATAAGAATCGCCAACCAGAAGGATAGTTGATTCATTTCAACGCTCTCCGAATGCAAACTGATAACTTCCATATGGTGTTTGCCTAGAAGTTCGGCAGTGTATTGCTTACATACCGGAGTCAAACAAGCGTGTTGCAGAAATGTTACCATGTAGAGGGTGTGTGTGGAGTCGTGTTGCGTGTTAGAGTTCGAAAGAACTTTGCCAGTTTGAGGGGCTCATTAGATTACCTCGTTAGCCCTTTAGGGCGTGGATAGAGTGATATCCCGGCTCGGTGAATTAGTTGAGAAGGATGCTGAAGAGTGTGGGAAAGGGAAGAGGTGTTGTTCAAAAGATTCTGTGCGATCCTCGTAAGTTGAGTGAACTGATTGTCGTAAGGAAGAAAGGAGACGCTTACTACTGCCATAACAGTTTTACAGAGTTAATCGAACAGGTAACATGACTATGAGACTGAGCGCGGTGAGAAGCGCATTATCTTCCCTAGGCTCATTTGATTGGGCCCATCGCATGCTACGTAACTCGGCATCTACTGTGAAGTTCCACTTATTGAATTTAACTGTCTCACCTCATCAGTGAAGGCTATCAGGTCGGTCTGGCTAGTAGCAGTGAGTTGTATACCGTTGCCGTCGCCTCGAGACGGTGAGCTCAAAAATGCCTTCACTGCCTGCTGAACGGTTCTCTGAACGGAGTTAAGCAAGAAAGCGCAACAGTAGCGCCACAGTTTCGCGGAAGAGGCGGTGGAAACGGTTCTTCGAGGAGCCTGCTTTTGTGTTTCTCAATGTCAATGTGGTATAAATGCTTCTGAATTCGTTCATTTATCAACGTTTGCTATTAGTTGCCTCTATGAAGAGTTTGCAAGAAGTTCCCACAACCTCTTGCCTGTGAAACAGAAGACTACCGCTGCGCTTACGTGCTTTATAACTCCTATTAACTTCGTTTAGCCGATCGGGAAGATAGTCTTGAGCTTAGCGTCTTGAGGTGAGTGCAAGGGTATAAAGTTCACTACAAATTGTACCTGATGAGCTCTATGGTCAGGTAGTGGGAAATCTGGTTTGGATACTTTCGCGAAGCCAAGGTGCACTCAGGGAAGATCTTGATGAGGTCTCCTCGCTGGAAAACGACAACAAGCCGCTGAGAGCGAGTAACCGAGGCGAAGCGAAAGCAGGTGTTTTCGTGGTTTTATTCCACCAAATCCGAAATATCAGAACGTGTTATGACAAGCGACCGCGGAAGGTGAGAATTGCGTAATGGAGCGAAGAACAGACAACGTTGAAGCGCATGTTAAGGAAGGTCGTTCATCCCGGTGTTTCAGAAAACTGGACGGCGCTCGCTTGAAGTCCCGCGAAACTTGTTCACTTCATGAATCCCGCGCTGTGTCAATGTCTAGTCATTGTGTCATATCGTGTGCCGACATGGTGCGACTCTATAATTCCTAATAAGGCCACAAAATGAGAGACGAAAAGGCTACTTGAATAATGTTAGCTAACGACTTCTGGAGCTAACCGGAAGTAAAGCTAAAGAACTAGAGAGGAAAAGGAAAGCAACATTGTAAATGTTCGGGAATAAGATAAAATAAACAGGCATGGTAAGAACAGATAAGTAAATAAAGAACATGTAAATAAGCAATCAAAATAAAAAGTAAACAAGTAAGTAAAAAGTTGATGTATTGTTAGACGGTTGCGCTAATTCCCACCAACTGTGTGTAGACAGCCAAACTACGTGCGCGACGGCCGCTGGGTCTTGACTTTCACATAAATTATACCTGAAATATTTCTCAACTAATTCTATCCATTGAATTCGCTCCTTGATCTGGGATTGCAGTTTGATTGGGAAGAATGAAAAGTCAAAGCGTTGAGGGGTGCACCCAAGGAGTGTTATCTTTCTTCCCTGGTTTGGAAGATAGAGCAGCTAAAGCCACATCATGTACTTGCGAAATACATGCCGTTATCAAATGGCTTCCCAAATGACGCCACAAAAACAATTAAGCAACATACCACCGAGAACAAAAAAAAACTTGAAAAAAGCGAACCCTTACGCAAGTGCGTTAATGTATCAAATACCTAAACATCTTGTAATGAATGGAGAAACACTTGGTAAAACTGCAGTCAGCTAATCAGGGTGCCGGAACCCCTCGTGTATATTGAATGCCGGAAGATTAAAACCGAACTGTAGGTACCCCGGCAATTTACAAAAAATATGATTCTCCAACACGGGTTCCCTAGCTCCCTTAATCCCCCTCCCACCCATTACTTAGAGTGTAAAAAAACCTGATTGAACAAGAACGCGTCTCCCACTACAAGCCTAGTTCTGCGGACTTGTCCGAAGTGTGTGTCATTCACTTATCTGAAAGCGGACGTGAAAGAGAAAATTTACGGTCTGCGAACTTCGGAAACGTGAAATTTTGAGCAGCTGAAAATAGAGGTGCATAGAGGAAATGGAGTTGGAAGTCAATTTCTGTCGAAAGNGAAAAATAAATTGATGACATTCGGGAAGCATGCACAACACTTTGGCCAATGTGACTTGTCCAATTTCGCTAATATATGTGCTCAAAAATACCAAGGACGCAGGAATTGAAGCAACCCATCAATAAACATCTTATAAGCAAAAGCTGAAGTGACTTACTTATTTCTCATCGGACTCCATCAAATGCACTAAATTCATGCGTGCTCATCATAGGGGAGCCAAGGAAGCCTTGTACAGTTTTATATTGAGTGCTTAGGGGGGGGGGGGTA